TACTAAACTTATCTTTGTAACTGAAAATATCAGTTAAAATTGATTATGTATACGAGAAAGTTATTTTTATAACTACCCATAGAAATTAAATCACCATTATCTATTTGTACAAACTTAGACATTTGATCACAGTAGCCATAAGTAGATTAAAAACGGATTCATTTATCGATATACAATGACTAAGCAATATTTTCTGACATTTATAAGACACACATTCCCTTCTGTTTGAAAAATGCAATTTATTCTCAAAATATTATCTGCGGCCAAAGGTAATTTATAATTTTGATTTTCTTCTCACTAATCTTTAAACTTGACAGTATCTAATTATGGTTAATATCAAGACAAGCATTTGTGCAGTTTATATTAAAAATAGTTGATAAATTATGGCAAAGGTGAGCCATGAAAAATACACTTGTTTTAGTGTTTTCTTTAATTTGTTTTCTGTGCCTTATTTTGCAAAGTGAAAGTAATCAATAATATTTTTTAATCAATTCACCTCTAGAAATCATTCAGAAGGTACATTTCTAAAATGTAATTTATTTTTAATCTCTGGAGAAAAAAAAAAACATGGATGGGTAATTGTTGTAACCTAGGGAAGGTTACTGAATAGAATAATTGTATGAAGGTTGGTAATGAACGATAATACTTAGGACATGAACAACACATATAAGATTCACCAGAAGTGAGTCAAGTGAATCCCGCAATAAATTTCCAACTGCAGGATATCTACCAACCACCGCATGTGGTCAGATGCAGCACAAGGCCGAATTTAACGTGGGGTATCCAAGCCCGTTGGCTCGGCCAAAAGTTCCTCATAGACCCCATATAAAATGGGGTCGGGTAGCTGTTTCCCAAGACGAGACTCTGCCCTTCGACATAGCCTTGTCTGGGGATCCTCACTGCCCAGAGGCAGATAATTTGACCAGCACAGCTGGAGAAGAATCTCTAACTGCAGAACAACATATAGTATTTATTATTGTATTTATGTGAATGGGGACATACCCATTATCATTTGCAGGTATGCTACAACAGTAATAAAAGGGAGAAAATACTTGTGAAACCTGTTATTACTTTTAGTTTAATAGTATTTTTGTATTTTTCTAAACTTTATTGTAATGAAAACTATATTTAGGAAATATAGGTGGCATAATTGTTATTGATAGAGAAAATCAAATTGAACCAAATTGAAAATTCTGGTTAATGCTGTTTGCATTCATTTTACATTAATAAAGAAAAAAAAACACATGAATCCATCTCTTCTCTCCACCCCACAACAACTATGGTTAAAATAGTAGAGCAGACACAGCACTTTAGCTTCAGTAGGGGAAACTGATCTAAGATAAAGATAATCTTCTTTGTGCCATCTCTCTTCAGTATGTTGGCAATCATGGCACTCCACAATTTCCTGTCCTTCTTAATAAATTATGTCTTTTTGTTATTTCTCCTAAACTGCGTTCCGCCATCCATTTACTCCAGCTCACTAAGTATGTTATGCATTGTTTATTTCTGTTCCTCTTGCCTTCAATCCATCCTGTGAATATCAGATTTTCCAAGCCTTCTTTCCTCATTAGGTGCCCTAGAAATTTCAACTGTCTCTTCCTGATGTTAAGTATAAGTTTCCTTTTTGTTTCCATTTTCTCTAAAACTTTGTCATTGCTCACATGGTCGCTCCATGGCTTCCACAGCATTCTTCTGTAGAACCACATTTCTATTACTTCAAATCTCTTCATCTTTGAGGGGATTGTCCCAAATCATTACCATATAGGAAGATTTATATCACATAATTCAGTATGCTTTTCTTTGTTTCGAACAAATTTTTTCTGTTTCTTAATACTCTGCTCAGCTTATGGAATGCATCCTTGAATAGAAATGAGTCTGTTGTGCTTCCTTGCTGTAGATATTCCCATTGTTGCTACTGCTGCTATGCATATAATTATCCCAAAGACCCTACAATGGGATGCATTTATTTAATTTCTTGGACTCACTTAGATTTTAAAGAAGTTAATTGACTGTAGCATTAGGAATTTGTATATCATCTTTTGATTTTATGAATATATCAATTTACAATACGTATTATTTCTTTTAGTCCTGTTATGGAGTCTATTGCATTATCATTACATTTGTATGTTCATTGCAATGACAATGTTATTTTATAGTGTTATTTATTCAATATGTTTGGAAATTATTTTATATGCAACAGGGGTGTTAGAATGCCTGAACTAATTCCTAAAAGTAAACCAAAAGTTTGCTTATATCAAATTTTTACAATGCAGAAAGATGAAAATGTCTTCCTTAATCATAATGTTACTAATTGATATTAAAATTATTTTTATAAGTCTACCATTTGTCCTTATTTCAAATATTGCTGCCACATATAGTTTTGTGCACCTGCTCATATTTAGAAATTTTTGATAAAATTAAAAGAAGAACCTGCAATATTATTTGACCTGACATCCTGGTTTCAGTCATTTTTCCACTGCTGCAATATAGCTTCCTCATGCCTTTTCTATAAATACTTGCATGATACCTAGATTTTATGAATTTAAGTGCAGTACTAGATTGGCAAAAAGGTCTCATCAACTTACAGGTGAATTGATTAGATGTGACCGTAAGTTCTTTGCTAACAGTTTCTCTTCTTGCACTTTTCACCTGTGGAACTCTCTTTTGGCTTCTTATCTTCCAGTCAACTTTCATTTTCAAAGATTTCAATGCAATGTCAATTGTTATCTTGTGCCTTCTTAATTTCTGTCTTTTTATTGTTCTCTCTCTTGAATAATGTTTTCTTTTTTTCACACTTGGTAACCTCTTGTGTCTTAGTGGCTTTATTGCCTTGCTTGAGAGTAAAAAAAAAAATAAACTGAATTTGACTCCCCCCCCCATTTTCTTTTTTTATAGAAGTTACAATTTTTGCTATAATTTTTATTACCTGTGAATATTCTTTGTTTTGAATCCACATTTAAATTATCTACCAAATTCTATAAAATTCTATGAAATATGTTGTTGGGTTAATGTAGAGGTTGCTGAAGATAAATGTTAATTTATGTGCATGTTGCATTGTTTATATGAAGATTTTACTTGGATGTACAAATCATTAATGATACTTTTCAAAACTACTTCATCACAATTTTAGGTGAAGTTGTTGAATTTAATGTTTTTTTTTTATTTGATGCTTCCATTATTCTTACATATTTAATCCTAGAAATAAGTTTCAACTCAATGCATCCTACTTATAAAATGTAACTAAATAATTTCAATGACCGATCATCAGAATACTAATTTTGAAACAAGTGAGTTAAACTGAGAACTTTTTAACACCATCTTGTATATAATAGGATATGACAAATATTTCGTTAGATCAAACAGAACTGCTAATTATTAATCTATGTAGATAATTGAAAAACTTACCTTTACTTTTTAGCCTATAATCAGTGATATTCACTTATTTCTTATAATTAACCTAGTGTGTTCTAATTCTTTTGATGTTTCAAGCTCTGGTTTAAATTATGTTCAGTTATGAGACCAGCTTTTCATAAAGAAATTATGAAATCAATGGTTAGGAAAAAAGTTTTAAAAAAAGAAATTCCTCATTAAATAGGTCCAGTAGCTGAGATCCAAAGATGGATTGGGATAGCTAAGAATGCATTCCAAAAGCTGGACAGAGTACTGCGAGATAGGAGGATTGTTTTGGTGACAAAGAAAAGAATATTGGACTGCTACGGGACATCTGTCCTCCTATATGGCAGCGAATGTTGGAAAGTCTCCTCAAAGATGAAGAAGAGATTCAAGGCAGCGGAGATGTGGTTCTACAGAAGGATGCTAAGGATATCATGGAGTGAGCAATGATGAGGTCTTGGAGAGGATGCAGACAAGGAGGAAGCTTATACTTAACTTCAGGAAGAGGCTGCTGATGTTTCTGGGACATGTAATGAGAAAGGAGGGCCTGGAGAATATGATACTCACAGGTCAAATAGAGGGAAAAGAGACAAAGGAAAGCAATGCATGACATAACCTGGTGGCCTTAAGCAAGTGGATGGCAGAACGTGGTCTGGGGGAGTTGGCAGAGGCACAAAACTTATTGAGAGCTACAAGGGATAGGGAAAAGTGGAGAGCCATGATCACATACATCCTGAAAGAACACGGAACGTAAAAAGAAAGAATAGTTAATGTTGCTGTTTTATTGCTCATTCTTTTTGTGTTTTGAATATACATTTATGTTTCATTTAATTTATGCTGGGGAGGATACAGAATTTTATTACGTTTTTAGAAATGGACATTCTAATGGAAATCTTGTTAAATCTCCATTGTCTGTAATTTATACTGCTGATTCTCTTTATTTTTTTCTCTCCTTTTTTTTTTGTTGTTATACACATATTTATATGCTTTGTCCTAAATTGGCTGTGAGGAGAGATAACTGGTTAACCCTTTTTTGATGTTTCTTATTTATTATACTTTTTGATGTACTGTTTTTTATGATATGTAATTTTTTTGTCTTGTTAACCTTCCTCTTCTGCCAGCTCGGAATGAGGATTTGAAGAACGGGTTTGATTTCCAGTTGAATTTCATTACATTCACTTTCATACAAATACTCTTGGGAAAGGTATTAATCCATCTTTCCTTCCCCTAGTTATGGGTTAAATAATAGGGCAGATTGGGATCTTCAGCCTTGGTTGGCAACCTGTCTAGAAGAAGGACAACTATGAATTCAAAACCGTATGTAGCCCTGTTGAAACACATACTATGTAGTTAACAAAAGGTTTGTAGAGCTTACAATGACTCTATGAGCCTGACTGCATTCATCCTTGAGTATATGTATTTTTAAAATGTCTGTTGTTAAAGCATCAATTTCATTTAAATCAAAGTAAACTTAGTGAACTCATGAAGAATATATTTTTTTATTTGAAACATTGGTAACTAATGGTTGCTTAACTTATGTAGTTGTTGTATTCACACCTATTTTTAACAGTGACAGAAATTTTCCTTTTATTCTTTTTCTCTTGTAGCCATCCTACGAAAGTCACATACTTCACCAGATGCAGTTATCAATGATGTTTCTTATGCAGAAAGTAAGAATTATTGCACTTTCATTCATTCTTAATTCAGAAGTAACATTGGGCAGATTGATTATGTTATATTTTCTGTATAAGTTCTTCAAATATTTAAAAAAAACAAAAAAAAACAAACATAAACATGGTTTTTTTTCTTGCTATTTAAGAATTTTTCAATATAAAACTTTTTCCTCCTTTCTCCCAGAGAAATTTGAACTTTGATGAATTTTTCAATATTACTAAAACTTAGCATTTTTGGCTACAAGAAGAAAATCACATACATATATCAGGTAAAAAAATTTAGTTTATTAACAGGTTTCTGAAGTACTTCCACTAACATTTTACTTGTTAGATGTTTAAATTGAGTATTTTTTCTGTTCATTAAGGTACTATAATATAAAGGAAATTTGGCAAAGTATAACCTTTGTGCCAGTGTGTGAAAAAGAACAGTTTTTTCCCTTTATGGTACTGTTATTTTGTAGTACTTTCACACCCTTGGCAATGTTTACGGTTTTAAAAAGCAATGATTAGAATTTGAATAAAACCCAAGCAGATGAAAGTGAATTTATACATTTTCCTTATCTTTGATAATTTATGACAAAAATATTAAACACTATTCATTTATTAGATTGTTTATTTACAAGAATAATTTTATATTTACAACATTCTAAAAATATGAACCAACTAATACAATCCAACGTTTATCATTTTTCAATTTATAAAAAAATTAATATGAAAACAGTTTCTTTATTCATAAATTTATAAAAATTTACTAAATCCTAAAAATATGTCAACAATGATAAGTGTCTATCATTTATCATTTTATAAAGTTCGAATTAATTGGCGATTTGATGTAAATTTTGTAGGATTTTATAAACTTTTGAAAAGATTTCTTTTCCCTTAATATGTTTATAAAATGATAAATAATAAATCTTTATAAAATGGTAAATAATAAATATTGCATTGTACTTGATTCACATATTTTTATAATCTTGTAAATAAACATGATGAGTGAGTCATGGTAGATTAAAGTAATAGTGGTATCAACAGAAACTGTTTTTTTGTGGGCACAAAGGTTAAACTTTTTTGGAAATATATATATATATATATATATATATATATATATATATAGCGTTTCAAAAATACTTTTACAGACTTTGGGGGCAGGTTCCTCACACTAAAACAAAGAAAGAAGTCCATATAAATGTATGTCTGCAAATCCTTTGTTTTTGAAGTATTAAGTTTAAAGAAAGTTTATAGTAGATGGTGCTGTGTTGCCCTGTAGACTAGATTACATTTGTTATTCATGTACATTTGCATCTAGTCTGTCTTCAATGTTTAACGTGTGCAGTAGTGAGTTAACTGAGAAGTGTTCTGTTTAACAATGGTAGGATATTCATATGGTGAGCAAGCGCATATGATTTTTTTTTTTTTTTTACATATTGTGTTTCCAGACTGAATGCAGAAGAGTCACCCAACCTTTGCTGATGTTTATCGTCATGTTGATGAGACAAGATCTGTGGCACCACAAATTATGGATTGGATTGATATTTGCTTATATGCCTGACCACATTCTATTAGAAATGATCCAGGTATCAGCACACATCAAGTGGCCCTAGCATGTTGTACATAACATAGTACTGCATTGAAGGTACTTCAAGAGCAGCTCCTGTATCTGTATCATTTGTAACATGTGCAGGGTCTTTGACCCTCTGATCACTCACTATGGGAGAGCTTTTGCCAATGGTTTATTGCACAAGCTGTTGATCTGTTGTTTGTCTCTCTTTGATCTTGTTTACTGATGAGGCAACATTTGGAAGAGATGGAATAACAAATTTACACAATCAACATGGCAGATCAGAATCCTCATGGTACAATAGAGCCTAGACATCAGCATCAGTTTATGATTAATGTATGGGCTGGAATTATAGGTGACTGTCTGGTAGGTCCATATGTTCTCTCAGCATGTCTTACAGGAGTTGTCTATAAGGACTTTTTGAACACACTTCCAGACTTGCTAGAGGATGTACCCCTGCTAATATGAACATGCATGTGGCTTGTTGATGGTGGGGCTTAGCACATTTTAGTCAAATTGTTTTCAATGAACTGGCTGACATCTACCATGAAAGATGGCTAAGTAGAGGAGGACTGGTTCCATAGCCTGCACATTTTATCTGTGGGAGCACCTAAAACAATTTGTTTATGCAGCAGACATTAATAATGCTAAGACACTTCATCAACATGTCATGGGGGTCTGTGAAACCATTTAGCACCATGTAGGGGTATTTGAAAGGGTCTGTCAGTCAATGATGTGATGAAATATGTGTAGAAGCAAGCGGAGGAAATTTTGAACATTTGTTAAGAGTTGCTGTGTTGATTTACAACGATGGCCTTTTGGACATATGTTTATATCGACATTTTACCTTGTTTTGGTGTCAGGAAACATCCCCCAAAGTTTGTGCAAGTATTTTTGATCCTAATATAAATAACCTTATATATTAGTGAACAGGCTGTCACTGCAGGGTGTTGACCTCAATATGCAATTTTATATTTACATATGCTTTGTCCATGATTTTGAGTACTTTAACCTATAAATATAGCATACCTTAAACTATATTTTTATCATATATCACTCTCTGAATTACTTCGGAGGTGTGCTTGTCAAACTCTCTGCCTCTGTGTAGAGAGGAACCCAGACGAGGCTATGCCAAAGGGCGGAGTCTCGTCTGGGGTGGTAGACAGCTACCCGACCTGTTTTTACAGGGTTTAGGGGATATTTTTGCCCGAGCTTATGGGCTCGGATACCCCACAATAAACTCAGCCTTGTGCCACATCCGACTGCATGGGGCGGTTAGTGAATATCATCATATATCAGTGGTGACTTCAAGGTTTGAGTTAGTCAGACTGCTTCCCAGTAGTCCAACAGCCAAGGGTATTTGTTTTATAGCAACAAAAAACTCTCAGCATACATCATTCATCCTTGATTTCAGTTGTACACAAAGTTGTGAGATCAATCTCAAATTGTTTTAACTTCATAGTCTAAAATGTTGACTTAAATAAATTTTGCTGAAAGTGTTCATAAGAATGTTACACAAAGAAAAAAAACTAACATGCCTAGCAATAGAATAATGTGATTACAGGGCCCAAAAACTCCAAAGGGAAATACTTTTAATAGCATGAATCAGACAAATACATTTCTAGCCGAACTGTCAAAAATAATCTTTAAAAATATTAAACAATTTTAATTCTATTTTTCAAAGCATACATTTTTATTTCAACTTCATAGCTTTATGTGTTGCCTTTGAATTCATTTTTCTGTTCATTGCAATGTTAAATGAAGTAAAAAATCACAAAATTGTGCTAAAGAAAAAGTCTTAAAAATGAATAAAAAGATCTTATGGTCTCTGTGTGTGTATATATATATATATATATATAAAATTTGATGCAATATTACCTTATTAAAATTTTAATTGATTTATTTCACTTTTTATTTCATATTTGTAATTTGTCATGAACAAGATGAAAGTATTAAGAGAATTAGTTTGTGAAATTTAAGTGTATTTATTACTAGAAAACTGAAGTGTATGTGGCCCTATCACTAGTAATCGTACCCCTTTAAGAAAAAAAAAAATTTCAGACAAGAGAAAATAAATTTGCATTTTGGTGACCATTTGTAAAAATTTAGAATTCACAATTTGTATCTAATCAGGAAAGAATTATAGCAAATATTTTAATTGTCTCAAAGTTTCTTTTCTTTATTCTCCAGATTTTGTCCTTGAACCAAACCATACACCAATTGCTGGTGTTTTTCACACTGGGAAGAATCAAAAGGGAAAATTAATCAAGTGAACTTTACACTGGATTAAAATATTGATACAACTGACTGCTACTAATTAAAACAGAGATTACTTTATTGTTACTACCATTTCCATTTATATATAAATGGTTGTTTTCTGTATGCTCTGTTATTAAATCTCTACTACATAAAACCTTTTATCATATATAATGTTAATAAATACTATTATACTAAATTATAATAAGTTATACAGTGTTGTAATTGATATCATTAGATAAATAGGATTGTTTGTTTTTTGAACTTTTTTAAATTTAAAAAAAATGCAGGTGTTTATGCATGCAAGCATTATAGATTGAGTGAAAATTAAATCTTAAAAACACACACACAGACACCTGGAGCAGTTTGAGCTATTTCAGTTCTAACTGTATTTGTCTATTATTTGTGCTAACAAATCTATTTAAACAGGTTCCAAAGCAGAACATGAGTCAGCTAAATCCAGATTAGAAGGTAAGGATTTTTTATTTTATTTTATTTTTGTAAGTTTATTAAAAATTTGCATATATATCTCCCTTAAGATAACCATCACAATATGCTATCAATATTTAGAATTTTACCTGTGAAAATGAAATTGAATTTAATTTCAAGAACAAAATGCAATACAACAAACAAAATCATATAAACTGTTAATTTTTATTGACAAAAACCAAATTATACAGCATTAAATACTTTCTGCCACAGAATTACTCATCAATAAATTTTGTTTTATTTTTAAATAGTATTTCTTTGGTTACATTTTGGAAATTGTAGCATCATATTAAAAAAAAAAAAAATACTTTTTATTTTTTTTTTGTTTGTTTATATTCTAGCCTCCATTTTGTCTCTGATCTGCAGTCTTGTGAATTTGCATGTATCTGCATGGTGGATATCAGAAATTGTGCTCAGTGAAAGATGAGGGGGTGCTGAAAAGTCCTTGGTTTGACCCACTTCCCAAATTAGTGACTAAAGATCAGACCAATAACTTTTTAGTGGCTCCTCGTATATCTCTTCCTGTACTGGGATTTTGTAAAATGATGTATTTTTTGTTTAAAAATGCATTTAAACATTTTTTTCCTTTTTAAATTTCAAGACGGTTATATAAGATAGTGAAGTGTGAGTTGCTAGCTGCTGTTGGACATATACAGATTTGAACATAAACCATTCTGTGGCTGAAGTGGAATTTCACTAGACCAATTTGGCAGAAAAAAAGAGGACAAGAAATGGGACCAAGGAAACATCTTTTAGAAAAAGGTAAGAAAAAGTTTTTATCTTTTTATTTTTATTTTTTTAAAAGAAAAAAAAAAGATCCTAAAAGAAAAAAACAATTAAAGCAAACCATTTGTGTGAAAAAGAACAGTTCAAACGAATTTAGAGTCATTTGAACTATTTTAAGAAAAATAGCACATTTTTGAAGAGCAATTTTTATCCAGTCAATTAAAAAAAGAAATTACAGTATAACTAATTTTGGATAATATTTAAATTATACCATATCAGAGAAACACCTTTTTTTTTTTCTTTTATGAAATGACTGCATTTATGATTTCTTTGCAATCAAAGAAAAAGTATTTTAACATTTTTTTTTATTATAAAACTTATATAAGAGTTTTATAATAATTTCAGTTTTATTTTTCAGTACATTTCTATAGATGACAGATGTTGAAAATTACATTGTTGTTTAAAGTAAATTCTTGTTATACAACATTTTTTACTTAATCTTTTTAAAGACCATTAATGTTGTCACACATTTTAAGACATTTAGATAATGTGGTATAAATCAATTATTAACCCTATCTTTTTTTTTTTTTTCCAATCATGTGATTTTGAGTCCTTGTTTTTATAAATTTGCAGAGTTTAATGTTTTTAAATATACATACCAAAAAATCTGAAATGATTAATGGAAAAATTCTCTGCTGACCCCAGAGAATTCTTCATAATGAGAGACAGTAAAAGTAGCAAGCAAAGTCTGAGATTAAAAGTGGCTGTCCAAATATTTAATGTATATCATTGTGTACAGTCAAATACATCAGGTTTTGTATTGTAACATGGCATTTTGGATTCCTCTGCTCAACGGGGACTATATTTTTAAGGCCACCCACGTTCCCGAATGGCTTTCTGGTTAAGATATTTATTTCTTGTTCACAGAACCTTGGCATAGAATTGCATGGCCAATGGGACTTTGACAAATTGTTCTGTGATATTTGCTTTGTATATTAGGAAGACTAACTTAAATATTGAGCTTGCAAATGAAAACTAGCTCTATAATGAGGAGTTGCTGGAAATTTATGTCTATTTAAAGCAAATGCGCTCCCCACTTCTGTTGTAGATATATTAATTAACTTCAATGGGTATTTATATTATGAAAAGGCTGTTCCTGGTATTCTGTGGAACAGACTCCCAAGACGATGCTTCCACAATCACAACAGTCTTAACTTTTCTTAAAGTCTAGGGGCCAACTGTTAGCTATCCTACATATTCTCATTATCTGTATTTACTTTCTCTCCTTTTATGTCCATACAAAAACTTCATTCAATAACTCTCTACCTTGAATGGTCCTTGTATTTAATGTACATTTTTAAAAAAAAAAAAAGAAAATCTTAACCAACTCTAATAGAAGTAAGGAAGACAAATTATAAACAAGAAATTGATAACATTTATAATTAGTAAAGTTACAGGCCTTTTTAATATATTTCAGCTCCAACTTAACCATTTTCTTTTTTAAAGTTTATTAAAATATGTATATTACATGTTGTCTCTTATCTAATCTATTAAGAATTAATTATTTAGCACCAATAAGATGTTGCCAGCCCATATTGATTAACTGGAAGACTCTCTAAACTACACACAACTGATTTGCACTTTTCGCAGGAAAAATAAATATTTTATGGCAAAGCTCTGTTTAGGACAGTATCCAATGTATACATATTGAATAGAATGTAGATAAATGAAACCTATCAATTCCTATTTGTTTCATGAAGAAAAAAATAAAAACAATGACAAGATATATTTAAGGACATACATCTTTTTCAAACAGTTTTTTTTTTATATTAATTTACGAGAATGATAAATGGATTATGAGGGTGTGTAGTTTGCTGTGAAAACGAGATTGATAACTTATTACAGGTTTTTGTCATATTTGGCAATGTTTTTTCTACAGGTCATAGGGTCAAAGAAGTGTATGTATATTTCTACTGGCTGTTCATTCTCTTCTTTTGACAAGCAGGGTTGTTGGCATATATATATTTATTGCTGGTGAGAGTTCTACCTGCTCTCAACCTAAACCATATTACCTTGGTTTGTGAAAGATACAAAAGAATTTTGGCCTTCTGCTTTTGTTTCAGGAATGGAGAAAAGGAATGGTATAATTAGCAGAACCATAGCTGTCCCATCTTTGGTTAAATACATTAAGACTTACATAAATAATGACAACAGGTTTATAAAAAAAACATGAGTGATTTATTGAATTGTTGTGTAATTGACACATGCACACATATATATGTATATATTGTTAAATGTGAGTACTGACAGATGTGCTGCAACATGTAGATCAGACCAAAAGTATGCAAATCAACAAACATGAATAAATATGATGCTAGTTTAAAACAAACAAAATGGCTCCACTTTGAATCATCACTTCACAATAATGAAACAAAAATATTTTAGAATTTTCTCAAGAGAACACTTACTTTAACAAAAAAAAAAAAAAAATCATTGCCACTGCTTAACATCTTCCCATCTAGTCTGTACAGAAATTTGCATTTTTCTATTGCTACAGGAGTAAATTTTTGTTTTGCTTCAAAGTTAACCTTTTCATCTTCCAGATTAAACAACAAAAATATAAAAAAAAAAAAAAAAAAAAAAAAGTAAATCAAAGATATTTTTATCACTTTACTAAATAAAAGTAAACCAAAATTGTAGTAGAAAAGTTTTACAACACATATATAGGAAGATGAAAAATGACTTTTTTTTTTTTTTTTTATTCATGTTCCTGATTGACACTAAAATGATATAAACTGAATTTATCATTTTTTTTTTTCTCTTCATAGAATTTGGCAGAGCAGATAATTTAAACTTGGATTCAATCTCAAAACAAATATCATATTGGTTGATGCAGAGGTTGTTGAACATAAACATCCATTAATGCACATGTAGCATTGTTTTATAAAGATTTTTACTTATACAAAGCAAAGGATGCATGAATCATTAACAATGGCTTCCAGATGACTATTTTAGGTAAGATTGTTGAATTTAATGTTTTTTTTTCCATTATTCTTACTTAAGCCTAGTAAATAATTTTCAGCACAATTATGCAAGTAACTGTTAAAAACTAATTAGATTTGTGACATATTTTGTCTAGAAAGAGATTAATTTCCAATCCATGAAGCAAAAAAGGTTCTTTTATGGTATCTATAGGAAAGATGTTAGCAGTTATTTACACAGAAAATAAATAATGATTAAAAAAAAACAGCCAATGACTTAGTAAAAAATGTATTTCATGTCAAAGAGATTAAATGGAATGTTATGATTACTCTTTAACATTTTACTGAATGAGATCTTTCAAGGCAAAATCATAATACTTTGAGAAAAAGAAATGATGAATTTTATATTAAATGTTATCTAACTTACAAATATTTTCTTTGAATGCACATAATACTTCTTAAACTAGATACATCAAATTGATATAAAAAAAAAAAGCTTTAAATGAATTTAAAATATTGGAAATGATAGATTTTTTTTTAAATGTTTCTTTGATGTATCTCTTTCCTTATCACACGTTTTCTTTTTTTTTTTCTTTCTTTTTTAATACTGTAAATAATTATTAAAATGTTTTGTATAAAATCCGAACCAAAAAGAGGAGACCATTATTATATCTTTTCTAATAATGGTCCTCTATACAAGCACACAATGACCATATATGAAAGTGTGTGTATGTGTACAGGCATGGCTTATATGCCTAGATGTATGCATAGTACACACATGTATGCATATAGGGTTTCTGGTTATACTTTATTGCCAGTGAGGACTGCAGTGTTGCAATTGTGTGTCAGTGGCCAGCCACTACAATGCAGTCCGCTCGTCATACACTACTTCAGACTCGTTATGGATGAGACAGTCTGTGTCATTGGAGTAGCGTGGTAGGCGCTGTGGTAGTGCATTATTTTTCATCACAGCAATTGCTGCGGCACTTTCATTCCTCATGCGGTTCTTCTTCTTGATATCCACCTGAAAGAAAATCAAACACAAAACGTCTCAGTCAAGTGCATATCTTGATATATTTCTTATAACTTCAATTTGGAAAAAGTAAAGTATTTTTTTTTTTTTTTAAGTGAAACATCAAAAGCAACTTTTATTTTCTCAATTTTTCTTACAGCTCCTGCTTTTTCATCTGATTGCATAAAACTATTTTTTTCAAGCTGATAATGGAAGAGTATCACTCACTCTTTTATTACAAAGAATCAAATAGAAAAAAAAAATTATTATTATTATAAGGTGTGTAATGAGAAAATATTTTTTTATATATATATATATATATATATATATATACACATCTGCTATGTTTGAATGATAAATACCCTTGAGTACACCTCTTCTGCTGTCAGTCGGGGACTGTCTTCTGGTGAGGGTGGACCAAAAGTAATTGACCCAGAAGAATCTTCTTCGAATCCCAGATTTTGAATACCTGGAAAAAAAAAAAATAATGGAATCAAAATCAACTCTAGGCTTTTATTTTAGCAAAATGAGTCTGAAGTTAATTTTTAAGGTGATGAATAAAAACTGATCATTGTCAAAAATGAAAAGAATAATTACATCATTGTCCCACTGAAAATAATTGAATTACCTTGGTTTTATTATTATCTTCAGATGTTACAAAGTTATAGTGTGTGTGCATGTGACAAATGAAAAAGTCTCTTATGATAGCAACCATTGTAAAGAGTTGTGGTGAACAGAAATTCAGTGGAAAAATTAATCAGATCTTTTCAGAAAATTTCTAAACAAAGTAACTCCATATTTAATTATACTACTTAAAACAAATGAAGGCAAAATAAAAAGTTAAAATATGCTTGGATGCTATTGTGATGTCTGTGTTTATAAATCTCAAAAGTTGTGCTTGTTTCATGACAAACAAACCAGCTCACATATTACAAAGGGTTGCTTTTCCTGTTGCATGAGTTCACACGTTTCTCCACAACATTTAGGAAATGCCAAGAGAAAATCCATGTCCTACACTTGATATAATGGTTATATTAGTTGTTTCCTTATTGAGGAATCAATCAGTAATCATTGACCAAACAGTACTACATGCAGTAGAAATTTATAAAAAAAATCTCTGTTAAAACAATTTTTCTGCCGGGAACATAAGTTTTTTTTAGTCCAGTAGTTGTTATCATCCTTTTTAGTACTGATTGAGGTGTTCATTCCTCATCTTTTGTTTAAGGTAGTATGGAAAGTCAACATCAAATGTGCTATCCATTTTAGTTGTTGCTACTGTTGAAAAGACTTCAAGTGATACTTTCTGTCATCTGGTACAGTTACTTGTTGATGATTCTTTAACACCAGTTCACAAAATTTGAAGAACTATAGTCTTGCTAAAACCTACAGGCTGCATTTGTTCAAAGCCATTTTTTAACCATTGATCTGAGAAAGTGGTTGTATACAGCTGACAGTTTAGATATTTCTGAACATGGTTGGTGCTATGCATAGCATTTATATGAAAGTCTTGATTTAAGCTATTTAAGAACCTGACTTGAGTTTTTAGGTTCGAAGTTGTGGGTGAAAGTCAGCCTATTTTATGTTAAATTTCCTTATAACAAATTTAGTATTGGAGATAACTGATCAATACACTGAATCATTTAGCAGTTACTAATTCCATATACTGAATTTTTATGATAGATTCAGAGTAGGTGTCATCACCGATTTCATTCCAATTCCAGATTATAGTTTGTGATTTTGGAAAGGTTTATCTTGAGTCCTATTTCTTAGTTGGGATAAGAATGATGGTCCCCAGCAGAAATGTGGGTTTCTATTAACATGCTATTTCTATGCTTAAATGATCAGTGCTCATCTCTTTACATGTGTGCTTGTATATGCACAGGGATGGGGGCATAGTCTCTGAAAAAGCATCTGGTTCAATAGATGTTCTTGTGCATAGGCCCCAATCTTTTTAGATTAAGGTGATGCATTTTTTTAAGAAAAAAAAAAAAAAAAATTATGATAATGCAATTTCTTAGCCATTTCACTCCAAGCATAGTGATAAAGCCACTAAAACACAAGAGGAAAGAATTTGGAAAAAAATCATTGAGAGAGGACAATGAAAGAATTCACAAGTAAATGTATTTTATAATCTATTTAGCCAAAGACTGACCACTCACACCTCTAAAATTCTCATTGAAAGAAAGATGTAAGTGGTCAAATGGTTAGCAACAGGGAAATTAAAATTCATGAGCTAAGTTCAAACTCTGACTGAGACAGTTTATAATCATTTTGTATTGATACTCTTGAGAAAGGAAAGGATCTTTCTATAACTCAAAGCCAAGAATTAAACCCACTTCCTACCTTAGCTATTGATAAAAGGAGTGTGGCTACTCTGTAAAACCTACTCACTATATATCATTGCCATGTCTGTAGTATTTTTATTAAGTACACAATTTTTCTTGAATCTGTTTTTAAATACTGATGGCATTATTAACAAACAATAATCTTACCAATATGTTTAACACCAAAAGAAGACTTCAATTCTTTTGGCCAAAATGTTGGATGTACAAATCCTGGTGAAACTACTTTGTCTTGGTTTGGTTCAATTTTTTGCATATCACGGTCTGTTGAAGGACCATCAGAATTGTTGTCCTAAAAACAAAATAATAATACAGAATACTAGATTAAACTGTTTCTGATTTATTTAGTCAAATATACCAATAAAAAATGTACATGGTGAAAAATTATGAAAAATTATTTTAAGAAGTATTTTATAAAAATTGGACCTTTTTAAAAAATAAAATGTTATTGTAAACTCAAAAAAAAAAAAAAAAAAAAATAAGGTACTATTTTTTTGAGGATTGGTAGCTACCTCTTAATCAGCTTGCTTAGTATATCAAAAGTACTTCTTGAACCTACTAATTTTGAAGACTTGTATACTTTATTCTTCCAATTGTTATCACTGCAAATTTATAAAAAAAAAAAGAAAATATGTTAATAAATATGCGACTTACTTGAGTTTTTATGATAGGAACATCTTCTTTACATCCATAGCTTGTAGCTTTTCTCACCTCAGGGGAAGTCAACTGAGTTTGTTGGAGACGATTATGTCTGCAATAGATTTAAAAACACCAATGAAAATGTCAAAAAATAGTATTTCTTTGGAGGTGACATTTTCATTTTTTTCTGCTTGTTTTGCATAAAAATAAATATTGGTTAAAGCCACAAAGCGGAATTGCAGATGTAACTGCAATTAGAACAATTTAAAAAAAAAGAAAAAAAATCAGGTTATCCAGAAATCAGCGTTTATACAAGTCAGCACTTAGATTCTCCCAAACTATGTATTTTAAATCAATATTATAGTCTGAAAAATATTCTTCAGAAATCAAAGTTAAGCAATAACAACACAATGCCAAATTGAAGTCTTTTTGGAACCACATATAAAGAAGAAACACGTCAACACAGTGGTCATTATATGTAGCAATGTAAAGAAGTAGCTGATAGAAATGGTATCATGGAGATAAGCATATTCTCATTTTAAAATGAAAAAAAAAAAAAGAACACTTTTTTTTTTTTTTTTTTTTTTTCCAGCTGCAGGGATAAAATAATGCACACATTTTGGGAAGATTTTTTTTTTCTTCACTAATGTTCATCTAATAGAAAACTCAAGAGCATATTACTGAATAAAGTGTGTGTGTGTTTGCATGCACGATATGAACAGAAGGGAAGATCATGAAAATGTGGTGTATAGATAACAATTAATGCTAGACCTGAAGCAAAGTAACAGTTCTTGGGAAGAAGCTGGGTGGAACTTCTTTTCTACAAATGGAATATAGAAGGGATGAGGGTGATTCAATCTTGTGGCTGTTACAACAAGACACAGCTCATAGCACTAGACTAAACGGGGGGGGGTAATATTATTGAAAAACAAAAATCATTAAATATATAAAGAACATAGTTTAATGAGATAGCGGCTTGGATTGAGAAATTGGAGAGTCAAATTTGAATTCCAGTCAGATCCATTACATTCGCTTATGTGTTAATACCCTTGGGAAAGGTATGAATCCTCTTCTTCTCCACCTAGCTATGGGTGAATAGCAAGACCGACTGGGTTCTATAGCCTTGGATGGCAACTGGTCTACCACAGAAAGAAATGGCAACCTTTGTGGGGAAAAAATCTGCCTCGTCAGTCATGTATCGAAAGATACAAGATTGCCTAAGTGTGTATCACGCATGGCACATAACTGACTGATAGTTTAATGTATTTGACTATTTTAGTTACTTACAAACAAGCTGCCTATCATAAGTGATATTTTGTTCAGAAATACTAAATCCAAAAAACACTTTCTATTGAGGTTATTTGTTTTAAAAAACAAAACAAAAAACAAACTATCAATGAGGCTATTTCTCCAGCAATAAACAGATCTGATATAATTAATAAAGAAAGCTTTAGATTATGAATGAGGAAGAGAAACAAAACTAACCTTTTGTGCATTTTGTTGTTGCATTCATTTGTCTCAAAGTATTAACAAATTTTCTTAACTGCCATCCTGCCTGTATTTTTAACATAGGGATACCATGTGGCAACCATCTCTCTCATCTGACACATTAGATTATGGTAATCTGATGCTTATATACAATACCAAGATAAGGTTTTTTTTTGTTTTTTTTTTTTTAATTTTTGGGGTCACAATTAGACAATTCATGAAACCTTGTTAATTGTTCAATAAGCAAGAATTTAACTGCCATGTATAGTTTCAGTGTATTAATATAAGTTATCTTATCTATGACAGAAAACAGGTTAAAAGTTATAATGTTGCAGTTTGCCCTCTTTTCTCTGTTATTATTATTAGAGTGCTGCCTATCGCATGATGTTTTTTTTCATTATTTCACCCCCCCCCCAACAAGGCAATAAAGTCACTAAGATGCAAAAGGTTACTGAGTGTGAGAGAATATATGTTTTAATGTTGGTGGGAATATACTTCTGCCAATGGGTAATATCAAGTTGTGTCATTTTTGGTCATTCGTATTTGGTTGTCCCATGAGACTTGTAAATTTAAGTAGGATTTCATTGCATATAGATAATGAAATCTGACTTAATACCAATTTAATGTTTGAACGGAGTTGTTAGGCAAGTAAATTCTTAATTCATACTTGTGATGCCACTTTCGCTGGGTCCACTGAACCAGAGGATATGAATTTCACTAATTCATGACCATTAGGTAAACAGAATACACTTAATCAACATTTATATGACATTGAGTCACAAGATCTATGATGCTACCTCCCTTGCTAAATCCTGCTGAAAAATAGAGCAGAAGAAAAAAAAAAAACAAAAAAACAACTCCATAAGTTTGGTACCTCCACCAACTGTCAAATGGTTAGCAAGGAGATGTCCTGAGAACCTATAAAGGATATGTGCAAATCTTTGTGCAATCAAACCATAATACATCTACTAGATCATTTTCCTCTATGACACTTGGTTATTGAATTTTGGAGCATCTTTAAAACTAATGTCTGTAATCAAATGGTTGTTCAATTTTACAACATTGAACAAAATTTATAAATAATGATCCAGGTGCATACTGATTGGGATTAGGTGCATTCCCCTTCCACAAGCAAAGGGAGACGGGTGGATGACAATAATAAACTGTCTTGTGTTGGGAAGAAGTCAGAATATCAGTATCAGAACAGTAGTCAAAGACATTGATATAATTTAGGTTTACTTTATTAAAAAATAAATTACGATTTACTTTATTAAAAATTAAAAAATTACTTCATTTTGTTTTGCATTTTTTGATTTACTTTATTAAAAAGTAATTAAAACAAGTGTGCTTTATTGAATTATTTCTTATGTCAATTGATTTTATTAAAAAATAAATTTCTTTACGATTTACTTGATTAAAAAAAAAACAAAAGACCAGTTCATATTTTACATAATGCCTTTTCAAATGCCTTATTTGAAGAAAAATATTCACTAATTAAGGTTTTAATCTTTAATAAATTACTTTTATTCAATTTTCAAAAAAATCAAGTTGTCCTGCACCCTTTTTGGGCACTGTAGTTTTTCTAATTTTCATAATTTCTTGATTTTTGGACTGAAATATACACTTGGATCTTTCTTATGGAAATACAAAAGCTGTACATTGAAAGAAACCCAACAAGATATTTTTGCAGACTATTTCTATTGTAGCAAGTTTGATCTTCACAAGGTTCCTTATATTTGTGACCTTGTGCCAATCTAAATTAATGTTAATTTGGTGTGTGGATTATCAATTTTTTTTTTCCAGGCTAATTTACTAGTATACTGGTGAGACCCAATTTTGACAAGCATGGTTATTCAAGAATTTGCCAGCAATAATTAAATTAATTTAATGGCATACTGTCAAAAATGCAGACGATATATGTGGACTAGAAAATGTAAAGAAAAGTTTAATAAGTCGTAAATAAATAAAATATTTGACCATTTATTTTTAGATTTTTTTAAAAATATCATTTCACCTCAAGCAAGGTGATAAAGCCACTAAGATGCAAAGGGTTACTGAAAGTGAAAGAAACTAAGAAAATCTTAGTCAGGAGAAAGGACAATAAAAGAACAGAATTCAAAAAACACAAGATGACAATTGATATTGCATTTAAATTTTTGAAGATTGTAGTTGACGGGAAAACATATTTACAAAGTATGTTATTGTATTGAGATGAAAACAAACAACTACTGTAAACAAATGTATATATTTTTACATACAAAGTAAACAGAAAGTATATATATATATATATATATATATATATATATATTTTTAAATGCTTTAAAGTATTCATTAAGTAATAAATTTCCATTTATTCTTATTTCTTCGGATAGCTATTTTTTGAAAGATTTAAATTTAATTATCAACATATATGTAATGGATAACAAAATCCAGAGCCTTTTCACTTGAGTATCCTTTATCTGTAATTCCAAAATCTGAATGTTTTTCAGGTGGTACCATGGTAATAAATGGAAAATTTCAGAAAGCACTGGGAAGGTTCCTAGGTGATGCACAGCCTTTTATAAGTCACTTAGGGGTTCCCCAGCCCAGTCTACATTGGCACCAGTTTTTTGTTAGCTATTATCACAGCAACACTTTTGTTCATGGATTACTTACCATGTTTTACATGATCAGTAAAGATATTCAAAACGTCAAAAAGTCCTGCATTTATATATATATATATATATATATATATATATATTTTTTTTTTTTTTTTTTAAGTAGTGATCATGTTTTTTTTGTACACATACAGAAAGTACTAAACATTATTTTTATGTGAAATCTTAATTTCACCACTTAAAAATCCATGTGAGCATTATATGATGAGTGTCATTATCTGGATATACACAAAATTGATTAAATTTTATATATAAGCTGTGCTATAAAATATATATGGATATTGTGTATATGCGCTTGGGTTCCATTCCCCAGCTACCCCATTTTATACATGTTATATACAAATTAAATAACCAATATTCCAAGATCCAAAAAACATCTGAAAACCAAAGCACTTTTGGTCCCAAGAATTTTGGATAAAGAATTCTCAACTTGTATAAGATCATATTAAAAAAATGCATTAGTAATAAGTGTTTGATTACGAGTAAGCAATTTTGTAATCTGAGAAGAATCCATATTCATTATTGTTATGTAGGAACCATTGCCCTGAAGAGGTTAATGGAAAACTTGATTAAGAAGTTAAGCTCAATGTGTTATAAGAGAGGGCAGCTGTACTAAAACAAATATAATTATATAGAAATGATTGAGAAGATACTTGAGGTCTATGAATTAGTTATACATGTTGTTAGATTTTATAATGATGAATATTGTCATATGCCAGGACATCATATCCGATAATTCCTTCACTGTGAAATCCAATATTATAGAAACTACTGCACTCGATAATGGCTTTCCCAAATCTGAAGATTAAAAATAGCTTAAGAATAAGTTGCCAATGGTACCTAGGCACAGTGTGACATGACGAGATTAATTTATTTTTGACTCTTTGGTTTTTAATTCTACTCAAACCACAGTTGGACTGACTTATTTAAGTTTACAAAAACAACTTGAGGACAGTTGGACTGACTT